ATGGTGACAGTATTGCAAAACCTCTCATCAAGTGCTGATGGTCATTGTGGAAACAGCAAAGAACCATGTGACAATGGACTGTTATAACAACAGTAAAACAAGAAGTTCTATTCTTAATTTGGAGAATTAGTTGGCATTCATTGAAAAAATTTGGTTAGTCATTTAGGTGTTGATGGCACAATAAAATAATTGGACACAGCCCAAATAATTAGCCAAAACAGATTGTTTCAGTATTGTTTGCCTTTCCCTTACTAATAAAGTGGATATTTACTAATAAAGTGGAATCACACCTGCCTCACATGGTCTGCTTTAAATGGACCAGAGATGATGATCCACTTTTTGAGGTGTTTTCATTCAGCTTCCAAAATGGACTCTGGTGGGGTTCGCTTCGGGTATGAACACAAACCGGTCTTGTTCTAACCCCAAATGCATGTTGGATACATCTAGTTGGACTTAGCAAGCCACCATAATAGTTAACATAGTTTCAAACCCATAGCTGTTCTGCTATCTGTTGCTAGGCAACACAGCTGCCAGCAGTTCTCCAACTCTGACACAAAATGCTCTCTATTAAATGAAACTGTTTTTTATTGGTTGTACTCTTAGGCTCGGTTCTGCACCGTAAACAGAAAGCAAACAATAGGATTCATCAAAAAGGGTCATCAGAAGCCAGAGGGCCGGAGTATTTCTGGCTGACCCACATGCTTTACAGAACCAGCTGGACCCAGAGGGAGTGATGCTCACAAAACTGAAATGACACCATGGATGTCCTTAGGAGGTTCTCTGCTTACTTGTCCTTCACATGCACGCTCCTGTCAGAAGGCACATGCACGAGCATGCTGGAGGAATCTCTACAAAAAAATATTTTTCTGGGATTGGATGAAACTTTTTGCATAGTGCTTTTTGTGTAACAGACAAATTGTATGTTTCAAAGCTCAAATTCTTCAAACTTTGACTTTTAATTTTTTCACATATTGGAGATTCCTTGGTTTTAATTTTAATGTGAAATATAAATGTAAGTAAATTAAAAGGTACTGAAATATATATTCAGTCAGTTTAAGATGGAACGGCTGTAGAAACAAATAGTTTCCTGTAACAGACTGAAGACAAGTCGAGCGTTGTCAGATACTTCTTTGCTCGTCATCTCCAAAAGGAATATGAAAAAGGAATCTATAGAAAAAAAAACAGAAACATATTTTGTTATTAACTATTGGAGTTTTTAAATGACTGGATGTGATATATAAACACTGGATAAACTCCTTAAGTTATCACTTTAATAGTGCCCATTCAGCCGTCCTGCATAGCTTAGCAGAGTAACTTCTCTCCTGTGCAGAAAGTATAATGCAAAATATTAGTGACTTGGAAAAACTAAAGGTAAGCAATAAGCACAGTAGACGGAGAAGGCTTTTATGTTTGCTTCATCTAATAAATACGTCCCGTTTGATCATGTGTAACAAGATATTTATTCAGTCAGTATTTGCTGCAGCGGATGGTTGATGGTAGATAGTTGTTTTTCTTTATAAGGCCTATTGAGGCCTTGCATAAAGTAAATATATGGAAAGCAGATAGACATTTTTATTGTTGATGTTGAAGGAGTAAAAGTTCAGCCCATATAGTTAGAAAATGATATGAGCTCCGATAAAGCAGACCACATTTCTGGTGACCCAACCTTCCTCCAGGCTGTATTGTAATGTGATCCATGTTGGCAGTGTGGCTGTAGTCTTTCCTGAAGACATTCACTAGAATAGAAACTTGTTCCTGCATTTTGTCAGTAGTCTCTGTCTGACACTCTAAGCACCCAGAAATCTGTGCTGGAAATGAGTTCAGATTCTGTTTGTTTCCTGATGATGCATCAACTCACACTCTGTCACTTTCTCCTGTTTGTTTTCTCATAATGTGTCTGTACCTATGAGTCTGTGATCATATTTATAAAACTATCCACCAGTTCCTTAAAGGGGAGCTCAAAAGCATCTGATTTAACCTCATAATCTCCAATCCATTACATATTGTTCCTGCAATCTGTAACACAAAGGATGATTGGATGACGGAGTGTTTTCCAGCCAGTCGGCTGAAGTAAACACAGCCGGTTGTACAAGCAGTCATGTGGTGCCAGTCCAGTTGAACCTATATAAGCTTGCAGCTTTTCATTTGGCCTCCCGCGTATCCACAGGCAACCCTGACACACACCATAAACCTCATTATATCACCCTCAGCTCTTCTGCCCGCCTCTACTGTTGTTTGACATAGATTGGACTCGGACCCAGTGCTCTCTGACAATAGGAGATTTTCTTTTACCTCCCTTGTATCACATATGGCAGATAAAACAGACCAGGTTGACGAACATTTCTATGAAGAAGCAGAACACTGGTGTTCACTGGTGTTACCATGAGTTCTATGGAGTGCTTCTTTTTAATGAGACACCAGTTTGTGTTTTCAGGGGTATACTCCGACCCATCTCTCAGGCAGGAAATGGAGCCTTGCTGTAAGCATGACTAAGCACTGACCGATGCAGTTTTTAGAATGGATGCTTCCAAACAAACCGTTTTGCAGGAGTGGCTGAGCTGCTCCAATCAGTAGATGTTTATTAGGGTCAGTCAGTGTTTTTTTTCTGATGAATCCCAGTAAAGATAAAAAATAAATAAAATAAAAATATATATATATATATTTCCCTATGTTTTGCAAGTATGCTTTTGTCCAGATAATCTCAGTTCACTAATCCACTAGCTGCGTTTGTTTCTAATCATTTATGCTCTGCCAGGCATGTGAGGCACACAGGAAATTTGTCATGGTAAAACAAAATGTGCTCAGATTGACGAAATGTTTACTTATAAAGAGATAACATTTGGCCTTACTCTATGGAGAAAAAATTGACTCTTATATCAATTTCATGTCAAATTGGAGCATAAAACTAAAGAAAAAAAAACAAAAAACACTTAACTGTAGAAAAATTACTCATGTATTTTTCACGCAAGGCAAAAAAACTATCGGAAAAATGAGTAAAACATTCTTAAAATAAATGTATTCACCCTTCATTTGAGTAGACAATAATATCTGCCAACAATAAGAATTGCCTGAAATAATATAGTTATCCAAATTGCAGTAGAACTATGATAATTACGTATGCATCTCTTGTTATATTGAAAGACCATCTTACTTCTGTACTCAAATCAAGTATAAATGCACTTATTTCAAGACCATTTGACTTTCTTTTAGTTCTTTTTTTTCTTTTTTCTTTTTTTTTTGCAGTGTGTGCATATGACAGTTTATTAACTATTTTGATAGTTGTTGTCCTAGCTGCCTATTCCAGTAGCACACTGGGAACATTTAATACAGGAAAATCTTAAAAAGAGACTTTCTCTCAAAGCCAAAAAAGGAAGTATTGGTCGTAATCATTTTTTGGTGCATCGTACTACAGAGGCCGCCATTTTTCTGATACACATCAGAAGTCAATACAAAACAAAATCTAAGTAAGAATTAAACAAATTATGTTAAATCCAGCCAGTAACCTTAGGTGTAGGTTTAGGTTTCCTAAACTACTAAAATTTTATTAGCAAAAATCTAGCTGATCAGTTTAACAGAGAACCGTGTTGAAACATCTCTACAAGCATCAATAAGGGATCATTTATGTCAAAAAGCTTCAAATTAGAGTATACATTAAAGCTGTTATTACCTTCTGCTTTGAAATAAAATAATTGTTTATGAAAAGGCTCAAACAGTTTTTCTTAAAAAGATTTGTGATTTGTAAATAAGGGTGGTGAACATTAATGGTGTCCAGTTCATATTTTTGAAATGCTTGTGTGGGTTTTGGGTAATAATTGCATTACTGAAAATGGTCGTAGGTATGTCTTAATGTGTATGTTTCTATGTTCAAACAAATGTATTTTCTCATTTAATGGACTTTTGGAGCAGAATAGACTCAAAAGTAAATGAGGAATCAGGAAGAGTGTTGGTGTTAAGGATTACGGGAAGGAGAAGGGGTTTGAATAAATATTTTTCAGTTCTTCAAAACCATTTTCTTACATTGGAACTAAAGTAAACATATAGTATAATTTAAATATTAGTTATACAAAATGTTTCGATGTGTTAAATATTTAATCTTTTACTGATATGTTTGAAATACATTTTGCAAAAAAAAAGTCAGAAATTTGGTGGAATTAACCGACTTCCAGTATACATTGTAAAAAGGTGGCGCCCTGGCCCTGCAGTACAGTGTCTCTCTTCATTTCTTGCATGCGCTGCAAAAAATTAAATATATGCACTGAAAAAAAGTTGAAATCTAGAATTTTTTCTTAAAATAAGTGCATTTCTCTTGAATTGAGGTAATTGAGACACTTAGCCAGTAGAACAAGACAATTTGCCTTTAGAAGAAGAAAAAACAATTGCAGTGTCATATTTCAAGTGCACATCATCTAATTATCTTATTTTAAGACTAAAAAATCTAATCTAATTGCCAAAAAATCTTATTTACCTACTTAAATTAAGGGTAAATACACTTAATTTTAAGACATTTTTACTTATTTCTAGAACCTTTTTGCAGTGTGTAAGGCAAGCTTCTCTGTAAACAATGCCTTTTCCCTTAATTTATCTTATTTCAATTACATAATGTCCAATTATCTTATTGTAGGAGCAAAAGTATTATTTCTGTTGACATATACTTATATTTACCTGCTCAAATTAAGGGCAAATACAATATTTTAAGAAGTCCTTCCATCTTTTTAGAACAGTTTTTGCAGTGTGTATCAACATGGTTTCTGCTTTTAAAAAAAACATATAAAAAAATGTAATTCACCACAACAAGAATGAAATTTACTTAAATATAATAATATCAACCCTAAACAACTCATACCCTAGCTTAAAGAAACCATGAGGAGTGTATTAGTTGTTAACGCTCTAGGATGAAGCTGACGGCAGCAGAATCTTTCCTGCCACCCCTTACGTGTGTGTGTCCTCTTTTTTTCTTATGTAATATTTAGAACAGTTTTCTCCTTCTCTTCCTCCACCAGAGTTCCCTCCAGATAACTTTTGACAGCAGTCTCCAGTTAACCGCTGGCTCTGGAATAGATAGCGTGACCTGCACTGACCAGTCAGCCAACAAGATGGTAAGAAACGTATCTTTGCAAAGACTTCATGTAGCATTTCTTACACCGCTTGTACCAACACTTTCAATGTATTTCATTTAGATTTTATTTAATTGAATCAATCACAGAATTGCATAATATTTACGGAATTATATATTTCCTTTAAAGAAAAAAAAGAATCTTAAAAGCTGGGTAGAAATTTGTTTTCAGCAACCCTTTTTATCTCATCCCATTAAATAAAAACCAATGGGACAAAAGTCACAGAATTTATAAAGTCAACTCGTGCATAGATGAATCTGTTAAGAAAAGACATAAGTCATGCTCTCAATAAATTAAGTTGAGAGAAAAGGGTAATTGGTTGGAGAAACCAAAGATCCCATCTAAAGTCAGTCACAGGTCATGTAGGGGATAGAGCCTCAGGCCAAGGAACGATTCATTAAATGTTGATGATCATCCACATCCTAATCGATCCAGGAATTTTTTTAAATGATTATTTAACATTATTTGGCAGAACAAGCAGGTCCTGCCCCCTCGCACCCAGAGGGTGGCAGCCCTGACTATTGACAGCTTTAGCATCAGACTCAGGAAGCCTAGAAGTATAATACTAAAGACAAAAATACAAAACCGAAAGAAAAATGAGCCCTGCCTCGCCAATGTCCCAAACTGCTAATCAAAAAAGAATGCAGAAGGAATGAAAAAAGGGAGAACAGAACAAACACCAGAGGCTGCAGACACATGTTATACCTCAGTTAAGAACTTACTGTATGAAAGGATTTTAGGCATGCATTTACCCTTTATATCAATATTAATTATCAGAATAAAACAGGTGATGAGACTTAAAAACATGTCAGTTGGAAGATCCTGACATTAGAGCCTAGCCCCTCGAAACTGAAACACATCATGTTGATGTGATGTCACACAAAAGTCAGCCCTGCTCATGCAGAATAGCTCAAACCTGTCAAGCCTTTATATGCATGCTGATCGGATCACCAGTCAGCATAAACCACCTCTCTGAGTCAGATTACAATTTCATTCAGATCTTGACGAATCAGATTAAAATATTCCAACTGGCGACTGGACGATTTTTTTTATTCCAATCGGCCATTTGTTCTGATTACTCATGTTGATGTAAACATAGATACTTTAGGTGGTAGTAGGAGGTTAAAGCTTCTGCATAGGGTCCTTGGAGTTGAGGAAATTGGTTTAGGGAAGTCCTTGAAACTGCTTTAATTTGATGTTTACTGAAGTGTGGGAACCTTTTATATACTATGATGATGAAGAGCAATGATCCCTCTGACGCTTATAGCAAACGGACAGTCTAAATTCTTTTTTTTTTCTTTTTTTTATCTTAGTTCTCGTGCAAAAATATTTTTCAGTGACAAAGTCCAGTAAGTTGTGTGACAAAAAAGCGACATAGTTTCTGTTTCTGACAAAGGAGCTTGTCTTATCTCATCAGGCCCAGCATGGCGGATGCGAGGTATGAAAAAAAACAAAACAAGATAAGTGTCATCCTGCTTCTCCTTCTGTAGGTTTTACACTGCAAATGCTGGGTGGACAGGCTGACGTTTCCTGTGACTGTGACCCAGCAGTCACCCGCTGCTGTTTCCATGGATACGTATCAGATCACTACTGCACCCATGATGGCCAAGGTATGAAAGCACGAGGTTGGAGCTACTGAAGCTTTCATGATGACCTCTATAGCATATGAGAAAGATCAAAGTTTCAAGTTTGAATTGAGTTAAGGATACAGCAAACAGTTTAGCAGAAATCCTTCTTTATTATTGTAAAACATCCCATTTCATCTTGCTTTGCTTGTCCCTGCATTGGATGGGATTCCCAACTGTCCGTCTCCATCAGGTAAAAGTGTCCCTGGAGGAAGTGGAGGATGAGGGGTTGCTGATATCCTGGTCTCTTTCAAAACAGCCATCATTTTCTCTTACCGTGTCCCCATGTAAACTGCAGAGACAGGTGAGAACATTTGATACTGACTCCACACTAATCTGATATGCCAGTGAAGGTTTAATTTCTGAAGATAGGTCAGCCTCTGCCAAAAAAAGGCAAATAAAAGGAAAATCAACTTTGAGTTGTGCAAAATTTTATTTTATTTTTTGCTTCAAGCTTCTATCAGATTCTGTTAATAAATCTCAGGCAATTTGCATGTGAGTCACCGTACGGCCCATTTAACTCAACGTGAGTCATGCAGGAAATGTCACTCTGAAATATTGTTATGAACATGCAGCCTGCATTTGCCTCTGGCAGTGAAATATTTACCCTTAGTAATTAACCACACTGATAAGAACAGTCGGAATTAGAAAATGAGGTTGCAGGAGAGCATGTTGGACTAAACATTTTTAGCATCACGGCGTTAGATAATGCAGATTTAACCTTCTCAGGGGCCCGGTGCTGGAGCAGACCTGGACATGATCAAAGGAATGGTTGAAGACAGTCTCTTCAGTGCCCAGCCGGCAATGGTTCTCAACCTCAAGGCTTCTGTATCTCCTAGTTCGGTGAGAAACCGTTTTGCTTTGACAAAGAAATTATCCTCCATTTTTTGAAACAAATGCATGTCAGCCTGGATTCTGCTTATAGATTCTGGGTTTAAGGCGATTAAACCTCTGCTCTTTCCAGTCCCCAATGGACCACCTCTCAGTGGGAACCAGCTCCACATCCCATGGATTCTTAGTGAGGCGCCTCCTTCTCCAGCAGCTCAGGGTGACCTTAAATAAAGGTCAGATATTCTCTCCCTGGATCAGATTATTTCTACTGCTGGGACTTGAGCTCACACTTCTTGGCTGTGCTGTCTGCAGGCCTGTGGTCCAGAGCAGGGGAGCTCTGCTGTGTTGTGAGCCTGGACCAGCCCTCGGCAGAGAGGAGAACCAGCTTCTTGCCTGTGCCCAGCAACCTCAATGCTGCACTGGAATGGAGCGAAGACATTACTGTGTAAGGCTCCACATGTTCTTCCACATCAGCAAATAAATGTTATTTCCTCTGCATCGGCTTTTTGTGTTGTGGTTCTGCAACAGTTTTTATTATTTTCAAGCATCTTACATTCATTATTATCAGCATAAGAATCAGATAATAAGGTGTATAAGATTTTAAAAAGGCTCTCACAGTGAGGTACTTATTTGCTGAATTTGACAGGGTTCCACATTTTAACTCTTGCACAGATGTTCTGCTGTGAGACTTTATCTGACATTGTTGTTTTTGTTTGCATTTAAGGGAGCTGGGTCCAGAAACCAAAGAGCTCAGAATCAGGCTTTTGGAGCGGAGTGAATCAAGTGAACGTAAGGAAAAGCTCAGTTCTAATTTCTTATTGGCAGCTGTCCATAAACCAGATCAGCAACATTGTTTTGATTGTTTAAGCAAAACTACCCCTACCAAAAAAAGCACAGCATGCAGATCTGCTGCAGTAAGCCTCTGCTAGGAAACGCTATCAATATAGAGCCTTGCCAAAGTACTCATACCTTTTAACCTTTTTTCCCTAAAGATGTCAGTCTGTCTTATTGGGAAAAAATGGTGGACAAAGAAAATGTAGTACAATATTCTTGGTTTAAAATATTTTTAACCTTTTTAATTTAAAAATAAAAACTTTGAGTGGGCGTGCCTTTGGATGTATTATTTGGATGCATTCTTCTTAAGTTCCTCTAAATAAAGCTTGTGGAGAAGAAAAACTCAATTTTATTGGTAAGGAACCTGAAGCAGTGTGAGTGGCCTTCTGCTGAAACCAATTGGGGTCCAGGAGACAGAAGCAGCCATAGAAAAGGAAAGTAGAAGAACTAATCTATAGCTACTGATCTACAAATTTAATGGTAAAGTAGCACCATGGAAACTCTAGGTGAGAAAACAAGACGAGCTCCGAGTTGGTTTTCATGTCAAAAAGGATGAAAGAGAGTACATATAGTTGGTCACAGTAAAATCTTAGCCCGTAGCTGTGTCTAAAGGGAAACAGGACTAAGCACTGAAAAATAGGCCTGACACCACCATCTACAATCAAAGGTATTGATGGCTAAACAGGACCAGACCAGATGAAGCTACTGTGATGAGAAAAAGCAAAACAAAGAGTTATGAGTTGACCTATCAAATACTACAGATTTGGAGAATAAAGATAGACCTCAAAGTTTGCTAAAGAATATTAGTGAACTAAAGGCCTAAAGACAAGGAACCAAATGAAAAAAGTAGAACATGGTGAAAGTGTCAAACTGTAAACCTACCAAGAGGTTTCAGGAGGCCTTAACTGTCAGGATGGACAAGGAGACACACTTAGACACTGTGAAACATATTTCAGCAGGGACATAGATGCTGGTCTGACATACAGAAAAGGAAAATGACCTGAGACTGAACAGAGATTAGGGTAAAGATATGACCAGATCTGCAGCAGTAGGTTTTAGATTAGTCCATGTCCGATCGTCAGTGGTGTCAGAAGTACACACATTTGTTACTTAAGTAGAAGTATAGATACTGCAGTTTAAAACACTCTGGTAAAAGTTGAAGTAACAAGTTGACCTATTTCCTCAAGTAAAAGTGAAAAAGCACGTGCTCCAAAAACTACTTAAGGTATAAAAGTACAAAGTAACCTTTCAAAAAAAACAGCCAGATGCCACTATATGAATTGAAAGCTCAATTTTTCGACTACTTCCAAAAATTCTTTGAGATAGGGCCAAGGATGAGGGAGGTCTTGTTGGTCTCCATCTCCTGATACGCTCTCGCCTGTGTCTGACCTTTCAGACATTTCAACATCTTTTTTTGAATTCAACATTGTAGCATGGCATAGACAATTCACTTTTATAGTTTGAAGAACACCTGCTTGCTTCTGATGATTTCCTTTAGC